TCAAGATAAAGTTTCAGTCTGACATTCATAAAGAAACAGATTGTAGTAAAACATTGTCGACTCATTACCGTGTGGTTTTGTTGTATTGTTGTCTATTGTAGGTCCTCTCGTGTTTGTACCAACTTCCAGGTTGTTTGCGGTTGTTGTTGCTGTTTTTGTGTCCTCACCTGAACAAAAGGAAACAACTCAGCAAACTGTTCAGTCACAAACTGTCTGTGTGTGATGAAATATTAAAGCTTCTGATTCATAAAACAAATATTTGATCTAATTATTCACATCAATAACTTGAAGTGATTTGAAACAGCTCATTATAATCTCAGTTTCTCACCTGATGGACGAAGGTTGAAGGTCAATGGCTGCTCTGTGTCAGTCGCTCCAGATACACTACATTTAAAAAACTTATGATGTGGTGTGAACTGTTTAAAATTATCAGCCAGAATGGTCACAGTAGCAGAGCAGGAAGAATTTGATGTCCTTAGGTATGGGTGATTTTTATCTACAATTCGACGCTTAAAGAGCCACTTCACTGTGCGTGTGCATCGATCTCTTGTCGTCACAGAGCAGCTGAAAATCACGTAATCAGTGTCTTTACGTTGAGTCACTGGTGAAGATGGTTTGCAAGAGAAAGACAAAGTAAATAAGATTAACTTGATGACTGTCATCAGAATTATTGTATTGTGTTACTATGTTGTTCTAACAAGACAGTTTGAGCTGAAAATGTTGTAAATACTCACAGGTGACAACAGACAGATAAACCACAGCATCAAGACCTATTTGTTCGCCCCCTGGTTTGTTGTCAAACTGTCTGCAGGTGTAACGACCAACATCCTCAACTGTAACGTTCTTTATAAGCAGAGAACAGTTCTCTGTAACACTCAGTCTGTCTGATTTGATCTTATTCTTCATTTGTCCATGAACAACCAACTCAACTGATCCTTGTAATTTTGAGTAATTGAAGATCCAGGTGGTTCTATCACAGTTATGCTGATCATCCATCACATTCTCACAAGACAAAGTGGCTTCATCTCCCTCTCTGACAGTGTAGTAAAGCTGTCTGCTTCGAGCTCCTGAGGATACGACAGAGAAACACAAATGTTACTGTTAATGTCAGCAGGAGGATCATTTATGATATATACGTTTTCATATGCACAAGTTTGCACTCAGTTCAAAATTCAGCAGCTACACGAAGAGAGAAATGCAAGTCCTTTTCAGTAGTTTGATGACAATTGCTTCAATTTTTGTGCTAAAATGTGTCTTCAAATGGTAAAGTGAGCAACAAGGTTCAGACTCAGACGTGTGTGATCACGCCTGACTGACTGACTGAATAACGGGGGGGCAGGTGATTTGCTTGTGTATGATACATCCAAGACTAAATGTTGGTTTAGGTTTCATTACTAGTGTAATTGGGATCACTATCTGGTAACCTATGATGCACTGACCCAATAAATCTAACCACAAGGCTCTATATGACAGTGCACCAGCTACTTACAGACAATGAAATACCGATAGTCCATGTGGGGTATAAACAGGCAGCACATAGAAGCACGTTATCTCGTTAGTAGCACCATCAAAACTTACACTGAGAAAATAAATTGGTTTGTTGTGTGACAGCACTGTAGTTATTATTTGGTTATTTATAGGTCCAAAAACGTCTTGGTTAGGTTCAGGGATGAATCATGGCTTCTAGGTTAAAATAACTACTGCTTAATGTGTGAACATCTTTAAATGTGGTCCAAATGTTGACTTGGACTCAAGGATGAACTGATTTCATTTTGTTGGTCAGAGGTTAAAGGTCACTGTGACTTAACAAAACAGGCTTTTAACTAGAACTAGACAATCTAAGAACGACAACACATCACACAAATGTCCAAAATGATAAAATAATGAGGTGTCAGCATGAAAAAGGCCAAAGGTCAACCTTACTGTGTCATTATAATGCTCTGTAAAAACACGATTCTGGTCTTTATTCAGCACCAGAACTCAGGAACAGAAGGGGAGATGGTATGTAAGCTGCAGCCTGACTGGTGATGAGGTGATAATTCTTTATTGGTATTAAAAGAAGGTGTACCGCCCTCATATCAGATAAAAACTGATATGAGACAACTGAAACAAATAATATTTAGACTGAACAGGTGCATGTCATTTCCAGTGGCGCAGTGCGTTTGTGACAATGACATATTTAACACTCCTGAAGAGGCAAAGAGTGTGCAAAGATTGTTAGTTAAGATAAACGCTGGCATTCATGCAGCTCTTCTTTCTTTAGAAAACTATATTAGAAAACTGACAACACACATGAACAGACGGGTGAAGACTCCTGGCCCACCACAGTCTGACTCCTGATGTCTAAGACACAAGTAGCAGCTCAGAAAGAAGACAAATATTTCAGCCGTCTGATACCCACTTGTTTCTCCTTGTTACTATGAACTCTATGAGGCTTCCTGAGAACTGGAAGGGAAGTGAGTGAGTGTTAAAACATCAGAGTCCTTCTCATTTAAACCACCATGACATCATGTCCTTTGTTCTGAAACAAGTAGGTGTCCTTAAAATAAGGCCTCAGCACCTACTTGGTATGATTATTATGATGTTTCTCACTAGTGACTGTGAGTGTACTTTTGTCCTCTGTTTTTATCTGTGTAATAATATTAATAACAATAATAAAACATTATTAATACAGTACTTTTTGTTGAGATATCACAAAGTGCTTCACAAAAGTATAAAATGTGGCGATGACCAAGTAAGCTAAGAGAAGGTAAGAACAATTAAATTAGTAAACTAAATAAGCAGGAATTAAAAAGTATGAATAAAAAAATACAGTGGTGAACAGAAGCTTCTAGACACTTATAAAGACCGTGTATGTCCTGGCAGTCTTGAATTTCGAGTGACTCCGACAACTCCTAATATTCTATGATGGAATCAATAAAACGTGCGCGTTTAAAAAAAATAAATAAATCTTTGTAACAAAAACAAAACCTTTTATGCCAATCTATTAAAGGTCTTCTGGAAAAAAGACAAAATCTACCAAGTCAAAATTATACATACAGCAACTTGAATGATCTGTTTTGGTGATGCAGAAAGTTGTGTGAGTGATTACAATTGACGACAGCTGCTGACTCCTCCGAGCCATTTTTAAATAAGGCCTAACTGATACACTCATTAGACTCTGTCATAAACGCTACAGCTTGAAAGTCTAAGGAGCTCAAAGATCTGAAAAAGCAAATCACTGACTTGAACGAGTCAGTAAAAGTTGCTTGGAGCCATTTCAAAGTGGCTACAGATCTGAAAGTCATCTGTGCAAACAATCATAAGTATAAAGTACACAGTACAGTTGTGTCACTGCCATGTTGAAACACAAATTATCACCTGCTGCTGAGAGACAATTGTTCTGGAGAAAAAGCAAATCTGCGATAAATTAGAAGCTGCTGGAACATAGGTGTTAGCGTCAACAGTTTACAGAGAACAAGCTTTCAGAACATACAATAGACATATTATAAAAATAATATAAAAAAGGAGAGAAGAGAAAAAAACAAACAAACAAACAAACAAGGGTAACTTCATTTTTGACTGACGTTTGATGCAGATCACATGGATAAAGAAAAAAGCCTTCTGGAGGAGGGTTCTGTGGTTATTAGTAACTACTGGTCATGATGATCAGAAATATGTTTGGAGGAGAGGAGATGACACCCTTAACACCAAACCTTCCATTGAGCACGGTGGTGGTAGTATTATGGTCTGGTACCAGGGGACCTGGTGCTTTACACAAAGTAAATGGAATAATGACAAAGGAAGATTACCTCCACATTCTTTAGGAAAAACTAAAATCATCAGCCAGAAGGTTGAACGTGGACACAGTTGGATGTTTCAACAAGGCAATGACCCCAAACACACAAGAAATGTCTAAATGAGGCTAGAAATAAGATTTTAGACTAGTAACCCCAAAGTCATGACTTAAACCCGTCAAGAACCTGTGGACTGTGATGAAAAAACATGTCTGTGTTTGAAAGTCAACACATTTAGTTTAACTGCGTCAAGTCTGTTAGGAGGAGTGGTCAAAGCTTGCCAGAAGCTTGTAGATAGCTACCAAAAGCTCCAAGTTGAGATGAAAATCACCAAAGGACATTAAAAGAAATATTAGAACAGCAGACTATTTTATTCACAGAGGACCTATAATAAATCTATTAAAGAACCAAAATGCATGATTGTTTTTTGTGACAAAGAAGAATGTGCTTTATTGATTCCAGCAAAGAAAATTCTCAGTTATAGGAGTCATTGGAAACTTAAGACTGCCTTGATATCCTCGGTTTGGCTTTAGGCTATAATCCCTCAAAGTAAAAGTTGCACCTGTAACTGATCAGAGGCTGTAATGTGATGACTGAGTTTAGGACCAGTATTGTGGTGTTAGACACTCACTTCTGCTACATTTACAGCTATCATCCACACTACTTCAGCATTTTACGACCATGAAATGAAAATGTCTGAAAACTTAAGCATTGTGTTTTAGTCTAGATGGGCCAAAACAGAGACTTTTGGAAACTATGACACAATAACTCGATTGCTTTGGAATTAGGTCATGCTGTTCTTATCAGTCCCTTCCCCTTTTCAGAAGAAACCAAAGATATCAGTCTTTGCTATCGCTGGCTATTTCAACATGAACAACAAAATACAGATGCTCCTGACTTTGTTGTCTATGCAAGCAGCTGTTATGCAATT